GTTCAAAAGCCCGGTACAGATGAGTATCGACCTGTGCAGGACTTGAGAGCAGTCAATGATGCGGTTGTTAGTATACATCCAGTCGTGCCCAATCCATATAACCTGCTTGCTTTAATTCCGGGCGGGGCTACTTACTTTACAGTCTTAGATCTCAAAGATGCCTTCTTTTGCCTCCGAATTGCCGCAGAAAGCCAATGTATCTTCGCTTTCCAATGGGAAAATGCTGTAACGGGCTCGAAACGCCAAATGACCTGGACAAGATTGCCCCAGGGGTTTAAAAATTCACCTACCCTATTTGGTTCAGCTCTAAGTCAAGATCTACTAGATTTCGAGTCTATCCCAGGAGAGTGTGTATTATTACAATATGTAGATGACTTGTTGATAGCAGCAGTTACAAAGGAAGTATGTCAGCAAGCAACGCACGATCTACTACACATTCTCTGGAAGGCAGGATACAAGGTGTCAAGAAGGAAGGCTCAGTTGTGTTTGCCAACTGTCAAATATCTGGGATTCCATATCTCTGAAGGTCAAAGAATTATGGGGCCAGAGAGAAAAGAAGCTGTGTGCCAAATACCGATACCCAGGAATAGAAGACAAGTGCGAGAATTCTTGGGGGCAGCAGGCTTCTGTAGGATATGGATTCCCAGCTACGCGATACTGGCAAAACCTCTGTATGCAGCTATCAAAGGTACAGAGCACGACCCCTTCTTATGGACTCAAGAACAGCAAACGGCATTCGAAGATGTGAAGAGGGCTTTGATGAGTGCCCCAGCATTAGGTCTACCTGACCACACACGGCCATTCTACCTGTATGTACATGAGCAAAGAAGAATGGCTGTGGGAGTATTGACACAGTACTTGGGATCATGGCAAAGACCTGTTGCCTACATGTCTAAGCAACTGGATGCAGTGGCCAGCGGACTTCCACCTTGTCTAAGAGCTGTAGCTGCAGCCGCCCTGCTAGTAGCTGAAGCAGATAAACTCACTCTGGGTCAAGAACTTTATGTACGAGTTCCACATGCAGTACAGACGTTGTTGGATTACAAAGGAAATCATTGGTTTAGTAACAGCCGTATGACCAAGTATCAAGCAATGTTGTGTGAAAACCCAAGAGTGTATTTAGAGACTGTAAATACCTTAAATCCAGCTACCCTTTTGCCACAACCTACTGAAAGTCAACATGATTGTTTGGAAGTAATGGATGAAGTATTTTCAAGTAGACCAGATCTTCGTGATTTTCCCATCCAGAACCCTGATGTTCAATATTACACCGACGGCAGTAGTTATGTAAAAGAAGGGATCCGCTATGCAGGATATGCAGTAACAACGATAGACAAGGTGATAGAAGCTCGGCCACTGGCAAAAGGAACATCAGCACAAAAGGCAGAATTGATAGCACTGACACGAGCGTTACAATTGGCTGAAGGTTTAAGAGTGAACATCTACACGGACTCCAAGTATGCGTTTTTAACCACTCATGCCCACGGAGCTTTGTATAAAGAAAGAGGACTATTGAATTCAGAAGGCAAAGAAATCAAATACGCAGCTGAGATCCTACAACTATTGGAAGCAGTGTGGGAGCCGAAAGAAGTCGGTATTATACATTGTCGGGCGCATCTGAGAGGAGATGGTGATGTAACCAAAGGGAATCGGATGGCAGATAGTGCAGCTAAGCGTGCTGCTGAATCAGGAAGACAGGAATATGTGGGGCATATAGCTGCTCTTATACCAACTCCACTGTCTCAATGGACTCCAATTTATACAGCTCAAGAAGAGGAGTGGTTAAGGACTGAACCTGGAAAGTATTTGGAGAACAAATGGTATCAGTTAGAAGATGGAAGAATAGTTATTCCAGCATCACTAGCGGTAGAAATTGTCCAAAACTATCATAACGGGACACATTCTGGGAGAGACAGTACAGAAGAATCTCTCAGAAAACATTTCTACATACCAAGATTGTCCAACTTGACTCAGGCCATTGTACGTAGATGTGTAACGTGTGCTAAAAATAATGCAAGACCAGGACCAGTAAAGCCACCAGGAGTCCAGTTTATGGGGGGACTTCCCATGTCCGATTTACAAATTGACTATACAGTGATGCCTAAATCGGGTGGACATCGCTACCTGCTGGTAGTAGTGTGCACCTATTCAGGCTGGGTAGAAGCATGTCCTACTCGTACAGAGAAAGCAGGAGAAGTCGTGAGATTCCTGCTACGAGAAATAATACCCCGATACGGACTACCCTGCTCTATAGGATCGGACAATGGTCCAGCTTTTGTTCATCAGTGCCTACAACAATTGACTCATATGCTTGGTATAAAGTGGAGGCTTCATACAGCATATAGACCCCAGAGTTCTGGTAAGGTAGAGGGAATGAATAGAACTATTAAGAATCAGTTGGCTAAAATGTGTCAGGAAACCCAACTTAAGTGGAACGTTCTCTTGCCCATAGCTCTATTGCGAATCCGTAGTACACCTACCAGAAGGATGGGCCTCTCTCCTTTTGAAATCATGTACGGGCGACCACCTCCCGTGCTTGGTAACTTAAGGGGAGATTTGAGTCAGTTGGGAGAAGGAATTACCCGGCAGCAGGTTGTAGAGTTGGGTAAGACTATGGAGGAGGTACAGAAATGGGTACAAAATAGATTACCTGTGAATATTTATCCCCCAATTCATAGTTACCACCCAGGCGACCAAGTGTGGATTAAAGAGTGGAATAATGTGCCGTTAGGGCCCAAGTGGAGAGGTCCTTATGTTGTTCTTCTGTCTACCCCTACAGCGATAAAGTAGCCGAAGTGGCTCCGTGGATACATCACTCCAGGGTTAAACCAGCAGCAGCCGATTCCTGGCAAGTTACAGCAAATCCAGAGAATCCCTGCAAGATCCGGTTAAAACGCACGACACAGTCGGAGTGACGAGGAATCTTGTAGATTACAAATTTTATTGTTTCAGAGACTTGGTAAGTGAGTGAGAAGGCCATAATAAAGCCTGTCCACTCACCAACGAGTGTATAAGTCAGGGAAAGTCTTGAGGGGACCCCTGTGAAGGCGAGCAGAACTCCATTCCCTGCAGTCCTTACATCCTGGAAGCTGAGGTGCCTTCACACGGACGAAGACTGAGGATGACGACGAAAGATGTATTTTTAATAATGTTTATTTATGTGTATTTTTATATTCAGGAAAGTAGAGGTACCAACACTCCTAGCTGTGAGGTATGCATTAAGACTACAAGAACAGGTAACCATATATCCCAGACCCTAATTTGGCATTCGCAATATGAGTGTAAGGAGATGTATCAAGATGTAGATACTTAAATATAGAATATAGTGTGTGTCATTTAGGAGTAGGAGAACCTAAGTGCTTCAGTCCTGAGTATCAACCCCGTACAATTTGGTTGACTCTCAGAAATGGAGATTCTCAGGGGACCCTAATTAATAAGGCGGTATTAAAATCCGTATATTCTTCAGGTGCTCTGCTATTTGATGCGTGTAAAGCAATATCAAGTGGTAGAAAGCCGTGGAATGTATGTGGGGATCTTAGATGGGAGAGGACGTATGGGTCTAACGATAAATATATTTGTCCCAGTAGTAAAAATAAATATGTAAGTCCAAGATGCCCAAATAGAGATTATAACTTCTGCCCATATTGGTCTTGTGTGGGGTGGGCGACTTGGGGACAGACAGCAGACAAGGACATGATTGTGACTAAGTTGCCTACTGATCCATATTGTAAGTCTATGGAATGCAATCCAATCCATATACTTATAAATAACCCTGACAAGTTCTTAGATAAATATGGTAATTTATTTGGGTTTCAAATATATGGGACGGGTTTAGACCCTGGGACAATATTGTTTATAGGGATAGAGACTGATACGGTAACCTCCCAAACTCATCAAGTATACTATTCCTTTTATGAAGAGATGAGCATAGATAATAAGATCCCCCATAATGCTAAAAACTTGTTCATTGATTTAGCCGAGAGTATTGCCGGTAGTCTTAATGTTACCAACTGCTATGTGTGTGGAGGTACTAACATGGGAGACCAATGGCCTTGGGAAGCAAAGGAGGTAATGTCCGGTTCTGAGGCAGTTGACCAATTAATATCTACACAAGCCGACTATCATATGAGTGTTAGAGGTAAATCTGAGTGGAGATTGAAGACCTCCATCATAGGTTATGTTTGCATAGCGAGGAAAGGAATGATGTATAATACTTCTGTAGGAGAATTAACTTGTCTAGGGCAAAAAGCTTATGATGATGATACAAAGAATACAACTTGGTGGTCGGCTTCAAATGTCTCAGAACCATCTAACCCGTTTGCAAGATATGCCAATTTAAAGGACGTATGGTTTGATCTATCCATCACATCTAACTGGAGAGCCCCAGCGAATTTGTACTGGATCTGTGGTAAGAAGGCCTATTCGGAGTTACCACAGGACTGGGAAGGGGCATGTGTGTTGGGTATGTTAAAACCATCCTTCTTCTTGTTGCCTATTGAAACAGGTGAGACTTTAGGTGTTAAAGTGTATGATGTGAATCATAGGAAGAAAAGGGGACCCATAGAGATAGGTGCCTGGGAAGATAATGAATGGCCTCCCCAGCGTATTATAGATTATTATGGGCCAGCCACGTGGGCAGAGGATGGTACCTTTGGTTATAGAACCCCTATTTATATGCTCAACCGCATTATAAGGTTACAGGCGGTGGTTGAGATCATTACTAACGAGACATCACAAGCGCTCAATCTTCTAGCGAAGCATAATACCAGGATGAGGACAGCAGTTTACCAAAATAGATTAGCCTTGGATTATCTTTTGGCAGTAGAGGGAGGTGTATGTGGGAAGTTTAACCTGAGCAATTGCTGTCTTCAAATAGATGACGAAGGGCAAGCAATAGCTGAGCTTACTAGCCATATGGTTAAACTAGCGCATGTGCCTACTCAGGTATGGAAAGGGTACAATCCAAGTAGTTGGTTTGGTAGCTGGTATGAGTGGTTTGGAGGGCTTAAGGTAGTGGTAGGTGGAGTCCTACTGATTTTAATGTTGTGTCTACTCCTGCCGTGTCTTATACCCTTAGTAGTTAGGTCTGTGCAAAGCCTGATAGAAAATATAGCAGAGAGGAAGGCTGCTGCACAGATAATGGCAATTTATAAATATAAGGCTCTAGATCAGGGAGAACCAATGCAGGAAGACGAGTGTTGAAGATTCACATCATAGGATAAGTCTGGTCTGGTTCAAAGGTAACTTGTGGTGTATGCAAACCAAGGTTAAGTGATGCCTCAAGTAATTGTAAAATATCAAGAGGCATCAAAGGGGGGAATGTGGTGGAATCTCGGTAAAAATAAATTAAGTAGGCCGAGATTACCACGTGGCATGTGTACGTGCATATGCTGACGTATCGATCAGTTGGTTGCACGAGGCAAGATACGATCAGTAGTGTACGGAGCATGTGCAAGAATACAGGATGTAGTATTCCCCTCCTCCATTGTGCTGGACAAGCCATGCGGTCAAGCAGGAAGTTAATTCTTATTTGTAATGATTGGTCAAGAGAATGTGCGGGTGGAGCTTAATATGGGAGGAGTTAGTGCCTATATAGGGAGCCTGCACTATTGTTCAGGGCTCAGAACTTGCTGTATTTTTGGTGACATTAGTCCCTCTGAGTCCCGATCGGTGATCCAATAAAGAATCTCTTCCTTCCTGAAGAAACCTGTGTCTATCTCTCTGTGCTTTGCTTCCGTCAGTTTCTCCGGTATCAATACAATAGGATACAATATCACAAAAAAACAAAAATATACAAACAATTTGCATGAGTTAGCATGAAATATCATTAACTCCTTCAGTGCCCGTGACACATGGTTTGGCAAATCCTGAGTTCATAAAAGCTGATTAAGGGATCACACCTGAATTCCTGGCTGACCTGGCTGTTGAAATCCCGCAAAGAATGTGTGAACTGGCTGATGCTAAATGTCAAAAAGTAATGTGTACATTTTATTGACAAGATGTGCAGTTTGAACATAAACTAAGGGAAATTACTTAAAGGGACACTGTAGGCACCCTGACAACATCATCTCATTTAAGTGGTCTGGGTGAGATATCCCAGTCCCCCCATAGTCCTACAATGTAATTCATTGAAATTTTATAGAACCTGCAATAATTACATTGCAGGACTAAGAATACCTCCAGTGGCTGTCAATCAGATAACCACTAGAGTTACTTCCTGCTTGCTAGGTGACTCTCTCTTTCTCCCATACAGACATAGATACACACAATGACACAAAAATAGAGACACGCAATCATACAGGCACACATACATAGTTACTCAGGCACACAGTGACAAAGATATACAGACACAAAATCAAACAAACACAGACATGCAGCCAGAAAGTCATACAATCTACACATACAGGCAAACTGTCATGTAAACGCAGACAGATTGTCATACAGACATATAGTTCTACAGAGACATACAGACATAGGCATACAGAAACATACAGACATAGGCATACAGATACATACAGTCATACAGAGACATAAAGACACACATGCAGTCACACATGAAGTCACAAGTACATATTTACAACTCAGGCCAGTGTTTGTGTGTTTGAATGTAAGCATGTTTTTGTATGCTTGTGTGAATGTAGGAGTGTGTTTGTATGTAGTGGTGATGTTTGAATGCAGGGGTATCTTTATTTGTAGTGTTGTGTTTCACTGCTGAGATGTATGCATGTTTATGCATACACTGCCACACACACTGTGATACACACACTGACACACATGCTGATACACATACACACATATATAGAAGCTGATACACATACAGATAGACAGACACTGATAAACACGCTGACAACATACAGATACACACACACTGACATAACCAGACACACAGTGACAGACATACAGACACACACTGACGTACACATAGACACATACTGACAGACATACAGATACACACACTGACATACAGACACACATATACACACACAGACATATATCACACAGATACACACACAGTGACAAACATACACACAGACACAAACATATACACACTGACAGACATACAGATACACACTGACATTCAGATACACACACAGACACATACTGACAGACATACAGATACACATACAGATGCACACACAGACACACACTGACAGACATTCAGATACACACATAGACACACACTGACAGACATACAGATAAACATACAAACACACGTACTGACAGACATACAGATGCACACACTGACAGACATACAGATACACACACAAACACACACTGACAGATATACAGATACATATACACACACATGCTGATCACTATGTACACTTTTATAGCCACCCTCCTGTTTCCTACCTTTTGAGTGCAGAAGGGTGGCTTCTCTGGGATCCAGTGTGAAAATCTAGCTGAGGAAGTTAGGAGTTAGGTGCTGGCTCTCCTCTCCCAGCCCCCTTGTTTCTGGTCTCCCATGTGGCTCCACTCATGACGATAACGAGAGGGCGGTAGTGCTTGTTCCTGCAAGGCGCCAGCCGCGCTGTGTGCTACGCAGGGAGCAGGGATAGGATGTGTTCATAACTCCACACAGTCCACAGCATGATGCAGGAAAGCTGATCTGGAGGGAGCTGCTGCTGCTCGGCGACGCTACAAGAAGTAACCAGCAGGAGAGGAGCACTGTGCCCTTTTCTCCTGCCGGTCACCCGAGACATTTGCGACCCAGGCCGGTGCGCCCTGAGGCAGCCGCCTGTTCTGCCTTATGGAAGCACCAGCCCTGAATCTACCATTACTTAGTTCCCACTACCTGAGATAGGTCTTTCACTTTTATTTCTGTGTGGTTACAACATTCTCCCCCTGTTTACTTTTCCTTTTTAAGCCTATTTAAAGGAGCGCTATAGGGTCAAGAACACAAATATGTATTCCTGACCTTATAGTGTTAAAACCCCCATTTAGTCCCCGTACCCCCTAAATATAGTAAAATCTTACTTTTGTTTAAGTCTGCAGCTGCTGTCTCTGCCACTGATCTACCTGCTTGGCTGACATCATCAGAAGTGTTGTTCTGAGCAAATTACAATGATTTCCCAAAGGATTGGCTGGAAGCTGATCAGGAGCAGATCCAGCACATGTCAAACACAGCCCTGACCAATCAGTATTGAGTCAATGCATCTCTATGAGGAAAGTTCAGTGTCTCCATGCAGAGGGAGGAAACACTAAATGGCAGTGCAGCACACTGGGCTGCTCTGCCCCATGAAGCACCTCTAGCAGCCATTTGAGGAGTGACCAGTGAAGTTATCACTAGGCTGTAATGTAAACACTGCATTATCTCTGAAAAGACAGTGTTTACAGCAAAAAGCCTGAAGGGTATGATTCTACTCACCAGAACAAATTCAATAAGCTGTAGTTGTTCTGGTGACTGTGGTATCTCTTTAATAATGTGGGTTTTGCGGGCTAACCTAACGTTTTCCACTTGTTTCACTACCTTTCTGTATTGATTTTCATAACTCTTTAATAAGAATTATTTTGGCAAGTCCTGGATGCAGCAGAACTGTTTCTAGAGACACTAGAAAAAGTCTCCAAAAAGCACAGCATTTCCCCATGACTGAATAGACTTTAGGGGTGTAATTAATGGTGTGTCGCCAGGGTGCCAAACTTCTGAGAAATTTTAGGTGACTTCATAGTAATTTATGCAACCAAAATGTAGTTTAGAACAAGAACAATATATTTGATTTCTGAACATGTGTCCTGTTTTAAAGAAACATAAGTGTATTATCTCTGTGGATCTCTGTTACACTCTTTGACATACCAACTATATGGAGCTTCCAGAAAAGGGGGACGTTAGGATAAAAAAAGAGAGACAGAGGGATTTGGGCCCACAATAGGGACTGTCTCTGCTAAATAGGGACACTTGGGAGGTATACTGCTCAGAAAGTTCATTGCGGGGTATTCTGCCCATGCAAGAGTGGAGAGAGAAAGCTGCTTTAACCTGAAACTATGTAGCATGGAGGGTTTCTTCAGTACCAGAAGCCAATAACAAAGTCTTTTTCTATCAACTGTATTCAGGACATACTTAAAGAGATATCCCAAGACATTTGACATTCAAAAACAGTGCCATGTAGTGGTTTTGGTGCATGTAGTATCAACTTAAGAGGATTAAGAGCTCAAATGTGAAATCCTGGCTGGCGTGGCTGTTGAGATCCTGGAAGGAATGTGTGATCTGGCAACAGTACAATGTTGTTCAGGACACACAAGCTGTGTGCTTGTGTAATAGGAAAGTATCACCAGACACTTAGGATTTTAAGACCTTTCTTTCATCAAATACAGGGCACATATACTTTAATATCACCACTGTGGCCTTTAACATGCCTAGCATCTCTAACAAGCAAGATCATATAGATATAAAGCAATCTGGACACTATGCGGTCTGTATAATAACATGCTTATTATTATAGAATTTTTGGCAAAGCAGTGTATGCAGTATATAAAATACATTTTAAAAATCCCTGTTTAGTAGACATACCCATAATGAAAACATGGAGTTATGCCTAAAAATATATTGAAACACCTGCAGATCTCTTGTCCTAGCAATTGTTGACTCCCTCCTGGCTTTCAAGCAGACAGCAGGTTCTGTTACTTCCTGGGCTGTTTAGCTCAGTTGAGCTAGACTCAAGAGGTAGGCAATTGCCCAGAGCACCTGCCTTTTAAAGAATTCCCATTGGGCTGCATTGAAAAGTCTGTGATTGATCTCTAATTAGGTGATTTAGGCAGCCACCTACGGCCTTGTGATGGCTCGGGCCTCGCGGCCACCTAAATCACCTTAAAGCAGACTGACCTGTCGGGCCCCCGGTCCATGACCGAGGACCCAACATTGGGAGGGGGCCCAGTGGCTTGCTTTTTATGCCGCTGGGTGCGAGGCGTCTCCAGTTCTGCCATGAGAGGGAGAACCAGCCTCCAGTCTGCAGCTGCGCCAAGTGTGAGCTGCAGACGGAAGTGTCTCGCGATTTCCAGCCAATCAGAGCGTTGTTGCGGGTTACCACAGCAAAGCTCTGACTTCTGGAGATCACAAGATACTGCACAGTCTGCTGGGGAGAAAGCCCACCAGACCACCAGGGAGCCAAGGTACTGGACAACCAGGGAAAAAAGGTATTTCTAATACCCCTAGCTCACTCTGTCACATGTCACCCCCTCATTCAGCTACCTGTCACCCCTTTACTCTGCCCCCTGTTACACCTCCTTCCCTCACTCCGCCCAGTCACCTCCTCACTTTGGCACATGTCACCCCCTCCTTCCCTCACTCAGCCACCTTTCACACCCTCCTTCCCTCACTCTGCCCCCTGTCATCCCCTCACTCTGCCACCTGTCACCCCCTCACTAGGCCACATGTAACCCCCTCCTTCCCTCATTCAGCCCCCTTTCACTCCCTCCTTCACTCACTCTGGCCCCTGTCATCCCCTCACTTTGCCCCCTGTCACCCCCTCACTCTACCTCCTGTCACCCCCTCCTTCCCTCACTCTGCCCCCTGTCACCC